TCACTACATTCTGCAGTCATCATCGTGGCGCTGTCAGGTGGTTTGTCGTGATGAGACGCTGTATCAGACACAAGGATTATTATTGCTAATAACAGCAGTTATTAATATTGTTTGCTCATTGCTTGTAACACGCAGAGACACAGACCGGCTGGCTCGAGGCCACCGCCTGCCTTTGTTGAGTTTTTATGTGTTTTTTTGGAATCTCACAGAAACGATCGTTACAGCTTCTTAACGCTAATTATACGCCGGCTGACTCACCAGGCATGAGAATGAATCATCCTCATTTATTTCACAAGACAGCGAGGCCAGCGATGTGCAGTGCGCCCAGCGTATATTGTGCCCTGTCGTACTATATTGTGTACATCAGCCTCATATTAAAGTTTGAGCATATAAAGGGTGACCAAAAAGTCCCATCAACAACAAGAACAACTTGCACTTATATAGCGTCCTCCACGCAGGGCAGCATCTCAGAGCACTTAAAAAACCATTACAATGTCTGATAAGTCTTCAGGAAATGATGATAATTATCAGTAATTATTATCAAAACAAATGGTATCACGACTTTTTGCTCACTGTGTATTAAGCCCTGGGTCATGGGCTTTGTCCTCAGCTGCCCCCAGCACTGAACTGGAACATCAACCTCACACCCTCACCTTCCACCTCAGCTTCTGTTTCCAAAACTGACATTAGATCTTCAAATGGAAATGTCCAAGAGAGATTGAAGGAGAGACAGAGACAGAGAGAGAGAAAAACGGGCCGACCGGGTAAGACAGAGGGAGATTAACAAAAGTAAATGTGGGTCCATTGCAGGCAGAGATAGGAGAAATTATAATGGGGAATAAAGAAATGGCAGAGTCACTAAACAAATACTTTGCTTCTGGCGTCACGTTGGAAGATACTAAAAACTTATCAGCAATAGTGTGGAACCAAGAGCCTAATGTTAGTGAAGAGCTTAAAGAAATGAATATCAGTAGTAATAGTACTAGAGAAATTGATGGGACTAAAAACCGATAAATCCCCTGGACCTGATGGCCTGCATCCTAGGGTTTATAAAGAGGTGGCTGCCGAGATAGTGGATGCATTGATTTTGATCTTCCAGAATTCTCCGGATTCTGGAACGGTTCCCGTTGATTGGAAGATCGCAAATGTAACACCGCTATTTTAGAAGGTGGGAGAGAGAAGATGAGGAACTGTAGACCAATTAGCCTGACATCAGTGGGAGGGAACATTCTAGAGTCGTGGGGCACTTAGAAAGTCCTAATATGATTAGGCAGCATCAACACAGTTTTATGAAAGGGAATTTGTGTTTAACAAATCTTTTTTTTGAGTTTTTTTAAGATGTAACTAGCAGGTTAGATAGGGGGAACCAGTGGATAGAGTGTACTTGGATTTTCAGAAGGCATTCAACAAGGTGCCACATAAAAGGTTGTTACATAAGATTAGGGCTCATGGAATTAAGGGTAATATATTAGCATGGATCAAAGGGTGGTTAACAGGCAGAAAACAGAGTAGGGATAAACGGGTCCTTCTCAGATTGGCAGGTTGTGACTAGTGGAGTGCTGCAAGGATCAGTGCTTGGGCCTCAACTGCTTAGAGTCTACATCAGTGACTTAGATGAGGAAATAGGGCTTAATGTATCCAAATTTGCGGACAACAGAAAGCTCGGTGGGAAAGTCAGCTGTGAGGAGGACATAAGGAAGATGCAAAGGGATATAGACAGGTTAAGTGAGTGGGCAAGAAGTTGGAATGTAATGTGGGGAAGTGTGAAGTTATTCACCTAGGTGGAAAAAATAGAAGAGCAGATTACTTTCTAAAAGGGGAGAGACTATATTATCGTGTTAGTGTTCAGAAGGATTTAGCTGTCCTTGTACACCAATCACAGAAAGTTAGTGTGCAGGTACAGCAAGCAATTAGAAAGGCTAATGGCATGTTAGTGTTCATTGCAAAGGGGTTAGAGTACAAGAGTAGGGAAGTCTTGCTGAAATTGTATAAGGCCTTGGTGAGACTGCAGCTGGAATATTGTGTGCAGTTTTGATCTCCTTATCTAAGAAAGGACATACTCGCCTTAGAGGGGGTGCAACATAGGTTCACTAGATTGGTCCTGAAATGAGGGGTTTGACCTACGAGGAGAGGTTGAGTAGACTAGGCCTATATTCTCTAGAATATAGAAGAATTAGAGGTGAGAAATCTCTAAGATTCTTAAGGGTCTTGACAGGGTAGATAGTGTGAGACTGTTTCCCCTGGTTGGACAATCTAAAACTAGGGGGTCATAGACTCAGGATTAAAGGTCAGCCCTTTAGACCCGAGTTGAGAAAACATTTCTTCACTCAGAGGCCAGTGAATTGATGGAATTCTCTACCCCAGAGGCTGTGGCTGCTCAGTCAGTCATTGAACATATTCAAGACTCAGATCAATAGATTTTTAAAACCTAAAGGGATTAAGGGATATGGGGAGAGGGCGAGTAAATGGAATGAGGTTAGAAGTTCAGCCATGATCTTATTAAATGGTGGGGCACAGGCTCGAGGGGCTGAATGGCCTACTCCTGCTCCTATTTCTTGGGTTCTTATGAGATTCAGAGAGATAGGGATAGAGAGAGAAGACACACAAACACAGACATAACCTCTCCACGCCCTTCACACTACACTTACACACACATCCCCACATAGACCACATCCCCACCATACACACACACACATACACACACACACACAAGGGTTATTTGGTAACGTGGTAACCAGCTCATTAATCACCCTCGCCTGCCCTCATCCTCCGCTGTGCGGTTTCTCATGTCTCACGGTTCAGGTGGTAAGAATGCCGAGGCTGTTGATAAAGGGAGGGAGACCCTCCCACCAATTGCCAGCTGACAATCCTCCGGATAAATGGTCTCAGATCTCCCGTTTAATACCTCGCAGAGTATGGCTCGTGGTTAATGGGCTCGCTGGCATTACACAGAACCTTGGCCACTGGGAATACTTTACTCATGGATTTACATAAAAGAAACAACTACAGACACTGGGCATAGAGCGAGCCTAAGGATAACAGATAGCAGGGACAGAGAGAGAGAAGTAGAGTGACAGACGGGCAAAGAAAGAGATGGACAGACAGAAAGCGAGGGAGACAGAGAGCGAGGTGGACAGACAGAGAGATGGACAGAGAGAAAGGAGAGAGATAGACAGAGAGATTGGAGTGGGTGGGAGAAAGAGAGCCCATTTACTTCATCCCAATCACTGTACCAATGTCCTGGCCAGGCTCAGGTCAGTACGGCTCTGTAACCCGAAATCTTCATAATCTACATGAATGAGACATGAGCAAAGGCTTCATTAGTTCAATTTTTTTGGCATCAGTTTTTTTATCGAACCAAATGTCAGAGTTGGAACTCTTGTGGTGCCTTTGATAAGGACAGTGGAAGAGATTAAAGATTAATCACTGAGAAACTGCTCACCTCCTTAGCTCCCTCTCCAGTGGGGGAGTGAGCCCTAGCACAGACACGATGGGGAGAGAGAGAGAGAGCAGGGAATGGGGTTAGAGTAGAGATCTCCAGTGGGGGAGCGAGCACCAGCACAGACATCATGGGGAGAGAGAACGGAATGGGATTAGAGTAGAGAGCGCCAGTGGGGGAGCGAGCCCAGGGACAGACAGGATGGGGAGAAAGAGAGCAGGGAATGGGGTTAGAGTAGAGAGCTCCAGTGGGGGAGCGAACCCCAACACAGACACCATGGGACAAACAGCCTCCTCTGGGTTTCTGGGTAGTGGTCAGGTGTTGATTCCCACCCCGGGGGTAACCCCAAAGAACTTTAGGTCTGCTCTTGTGATCTCGAGTCTGGTCTTCAAACAGTTACTCATCCCCTTTGCTTCTGTCTGCATTTCCTGTGGCAGCACATTGCCATGAGCTGGTAACGCAGTACATTCGCAGCAGCTGCTCCAGTATTGTCACCATAATGATGCCAAGAACACTGCTCCCAGCTCAGTGAGGGGGGTGTGGGGGGGCTGCGACTGCCCTCTGCTGGCTCTCCCTGAGGCTGCAGTGTGGGGGAGTGGGGGCGCACGGTCAAGCCGCTATGTGTGTTCACTCTTCACTCACTGAAGACTTGTTGTTAATGGCCAGACTGTAGCAAGCCAGCATCCGTTTAAGAAAAACAAACAGAGGGAGAGGTTAACAGGGTTTCTTCTACACGCGCTGAGGGTTGTTAGGATGTGGAATGCCTGGCCGAGAACAAGGAGAAGAATCCTTGTGTTTAGCTTAGCCCCTACAACGTGTCAAAGCACGGTGGGCGGGGGTGGGGGCTGAGGAGGGTGGAAGGGGTTATAGTACAGTGCCCACAATCGCTCACAGCGTTTCACAAAGTTTTCCAATGGCGTTGAGGGATCTTTAAGGGCCACCTGCTATTGCCACAAAGAGCACTGAGCAAGGCCATGGCTGTGCCGTGGCTGTGAGCAGCCTGGCTCTCGCTCCTCCCTTCCCCCAGGTCCAAGCTGTGTGTAAATGGGGGCTGTAAATATTAGGGGCTGTTATATTATAATAATAATAATTCTTGCATTTGTTTCAGCGCCTTATCACCTCATCGAGACATCTCAAAGCGCTTCACAGGATATACTGTAAAGTGTAGTGACTGTGTATTTTGACAAACTGTTGACGGTTTCTTGCGCAGATTTGGGGGAAGGAAGCGAAGCCCTCTTCTCCAGAGGCGAGAGTGTGTGTGTGTGTTAGCGTGAACCTGACTCCCGGTTGCGCTGGACGTGCGGTGGCTGTGTCTCTGAGGTTTGGCCAGGGGATGGCAGCAGCAGACTGTGTCACAGCTTCTCAACAGCTCGGACACTGATCCATCCCTGTGTGGTTCATTAACCCTTTAAAGCCCGTGTTGTCCCAGATTGGCAAAAGTGGCTGTGGTGGGGGGCGTCAGAGAATGGCCTCCAGCTGCTGCTCTTAATGTGACATCATGTGTCTGAGTGTGAGAGGGTCGTCTGATAGAAATGACATCCGCTATATCAAATGCAAGGATTATTATTATATTATTATTATTATGTATCCTCCTTCTTCCCCCCCCCTACCCACACATGGTGCTGAGCTTGTCAGTGGGGAGGTGTGAGGCTGACTAGTTGCTCTTGTCTTTTTCTCAGGGCCAAACTGTTCCGGGGGAAGAAGGTGCACGGAGAGTATGATATCCGCCTGGAGCAGGTTAGTGCTTCCCTTCTCCCAGTGCAACTGTATTCAACATGGTGGTGGGGGTGGGTGCTGGTGGGGGGGGGGGTGCATATTGCGGTCAGTCTCTGTATATTGTCCCCCCCCTTTCTTTCCCATTCCCTGCTCTCTCTCTCCCCATCATGTCTGTGATGGTGCTCGCTCTCTCTCTCGCTGTGTAAGTGTGAGTTGGTGTGGGACGTTCCTGGTGTGAGACACATGTGTAAGTGTGAGTTGGTGTGGGACGTTCCTGGTGTGAGACACGTGTGTAAAAATGAGTTGGTGTGGGGCGTTCCTGGTGTGAGACACGTGTGTAAGTGTGAGTTGGTGTGGGACGTTCCTGGTGTGAGACACGTGTGTAAAAATGAGTTGGTGTGGGGCGTTCCTGGTGTGAGACACGTGTATAAGTGTGATTTGGTATAGGGCGTTCCTGGTGTGAGACACGTGTGTAAGAGTGAGTCGCTGTTTTGCAGGCTGACTTCACGGACATTAACCTGGTGGCTCAGGCCGACGGCAGCTGCATTGTGGACATGCAAGTGATCCGGAATGGCACCAGGGTTGTGAGGTGAGAGTCAGGGGGATGGATGGTGGAGACCAAAGTGATGGGGACGTGGGAAAAGGGGATCAGGGGAAACAGGGTTGGGGTTAAACGGGATCTGGGGGGGGGGGCGGTTGCGATTGGGGGGCGTGGTGTGAATCGAGGGGTGAACTGTTTCTGATCAGTAAATGGGTCCCGGACAACAATCCTCTGGGCAAATCACAGCTTCGCACCCTTCGCAGCCTTATTTTCTACCAGAAGGACTGCACCCCAGCCAGCGAGCGAAGGAGAGAGAGGGACAAAGAGTGACCAAGAGAAGGACAGAGAGAAGGGAGAGAGTGAGAGAGAGCGAGAGAGTGCAGGGAATGACTTCAGTCCTCAATATTGAGAGCACAACAAGCTTTGTTTTCCTGGGGGTGTTAATAGCTCGCGCTCATTCTGATTTCCTGATTTCGGGGGAATATTGTGATAAAGTGCAGACGCCAGGGTTCATGGCAGCGAGTGACAATCTGTCGGGTGCTTCGCATTTTCCGCCCATGCAGCTGCTCAGTGTTTCCACTGACCGTCACCACACACACACTGAGGGCACCAGGCACCGTGGGGGGGGGGGCAGGCAGGGGTATGGGTTTGGGAGCTAGACCGGCACCAGGGGCGGGCATAGAGGTGAGGTAGGGGCAGGGCTGGGGCAGGACAGGGAGGTGGGGAGTGAGTGTCTCACTGACTGGCCAGAGTGTTGAGGAGTGGGCTTCCTCTCGCTCGGGTATCAAGGTATCAGGGTAGCTCACTGTCAGTCTGCATTATAACACCCAACAGGGTTGAGGTGGATAACCATTTGTTAGGTCAGGGTGTCAAGGGATCCTGGGCAAGGGTGGGTAATTGGAGTTGAGGTGCAGATCAGCCATGTTCTTATAGAATGGCGGAACAGGCTCAAGGGGCTGAATGGCCTCCTCCTGTTCCTATGTTTCTATGAGGCTTAGCAACAACTGGAGCAGGACCTATAAAGGGAACCTTTTACACTCAGTGTGAATGCAGGAGTCACTGATCCCAATATTCACACTGACATTTGTGCACAGTTACATTTTAGGACAATGATCTTAAGATTAAAAGCGGGAGAATTTCACACTGCCTTCCCCCACCCCCACTCCCGCCCGGGTTTTTACAGGATTTATATCCCATCATTTTTAATTATTCCCGGGAAATCTATTTAACTTCAACTCGAGCTGCAGATTGGGAGTCGCTTGATTATAACAGGAAATGAATTATTCCTAAAAACAACTCATTTTCCAACAAACAAATTATCTCGACATCTGCTGCTTCTCGGGGGGAGATTTAGTTCATCAATCCTGCCCCCAGCCCCCAGTCCCAACCCCCCCGCACAGGACTAATATCTGTGATGGTGCTCATTAACTTAGTTCCCGCTGTTCAGCCTTTAACACAGAATCAGAATATTCAATAACAGATTGGGAGCGTAGTGGGGGGGGGGGGGGAGCTATAAACCTACCTCTGCCCCCGAGACTAGCATTGAATTCACCTGCAAAACACACAGTCACTCCACTTCACAGCATAGTATCTTCAGGTGAGCTCGCAGTACAGGCTGACATTCCAGTACAGTCCTGTGTTAATGGAGGTTTTGTTTTGTTCTTCTGTTAACATGTTAAAATATTACAATTTAAACTTAAACTCTGGGCTGCCCACACCTCGGCTCCTGACAACCTACGCCTAATACTTTCCGGATTTAGATAAACAGGATGCGTCCCTCCAGGGAGAGAGAGAGAGAGCGCATTCTATTACCAAAAATCTAGCTCTGGAATCCCCATGCGTAAGTGGGAGGCATGGAAATCTCAGTTCCAGGGCCTTGGGACGTCCTCCCGATGTGAAAGCCGTTTTATAAATGTAATTTTGTTGTTTTTGTTGTTGGTTTGGAGACTCTGAAGCACTGTGATGAGTTTCCTCATGTGTCAGACCCTCGGCTGGGCCAAAGAAAACAGACATTGAACCAAGGCTGAACAAGGCAAGTCTGTGCCCTGTTCAGGTGGACGTTAAAGAGCTGCCACGGGTTATTCGAAAAGGGATGGGTGTTCTGGCCGACAATCTCCCAAATAAACTCGCTTCACGGCTGTTTGTAGGACGCTGCTGTGCGCAAAATTGGCTGTTGCGTTTGCCAACAAACACACAGTCACTACAGTTGGCAGTAAAATCCTGTGAAATGCTTTGAGACGTCTCGATGACGTGATAACGCACGATATCAAATGCGAAGATTATTATTATAGCTCACGTCTCTCGCCAGAGTTACTTACTTCCCAGTTTGTCAATGCTTCATTATTTTACCCACCTCAATCTAATCACCCCTTAACCTCCTCTGCTCCAGGGAGTGTGACCCTGTCTTCTCAGCCTCTCATCACAGCCAAAACCCTTTCAGACCAGGGATTTGTCTGGTGAACCATCGCTGGACACCGCCAAGGTGTCTGCTCAAACGTGACTGCAATTCTCCAAATAAGGTGTGAGTGGCCGGTCACACATCTCAGAGCCTTGTTAGAGAAAGCTCCTCAGCTCTGGGGGTGAGGCCTGAGTTTACACTGCCTGTCGCAGGCACAGGCACCGATTCCTGATGAGTGTCTTGTACAGACAAGGCAATTAGCCGAGACAGAGCACGAGGCTGAGCTGTATTGAGAGCCCGTCACACTTTCCGATGGGCAAAAAATGAAAAGTCTAAAATGCAAATCTCTTTCCTTCTCTCTTCTTTATTTCTTTCTCTGTCTGTCTGTTTCTCTCTGACTCTGTCTGTCTCTGACTCTCTCCTGTGCGTGCATGTGTGTGTGTGTGTCTTTCTCTCTCTGTTGTGCTCGCTGGGTGTGTGTGTGTTTCTCTGTCTGTCTTTTTTTCTCTCTGTATGTGTGTCTCTTTGTTCGTGTCTCTTTCTATCTCTCTCTGTACGTGTGTGTGTGTATATGTGTGTGTCTCAGGCGACCCTGAGAGGTTAACAATGAGAGTTTAAAATACTGTTTTAACACAGTTACTACACCCTAAGCAGTCAGTTGGTTACTACACCCACAGTAACATCCTGTGAAGCACTTTGAGATGCCAGACCGGTGTGCTTGTGATTGTTGGCCTGTGAGTGAGATTACTGTCCTGCTTTTACCTGTAGATCCATCAAACCTGACTTTGTGGTCGTACGTCAGAATCCCTTCAACATGGCAGAGAACGAGGATTACAGGAACATCGTGATTGGCTTCCAGTATGGAGGGCTTCTCAGTCTCAACTCCCTGGAATCCATCTACAACTTCTGTGACAAGCCGTGGGTGGTGAGTTCAGCCTTCGTCCTGGCATACCTGTGCTGGGGCTCGCTCCCCCACTGGAGCTCTCTACTCTAACCCCATTCCCGGCTCTCTCTCTCTCTCTCTCTCTCCCCATCATGTCTGTGCTGGGGCTCGCTCCCCCACTGGAGCTCTCTACTCTAACCCCATTCCCGGCTCTCTCTCTCTCTCTCTCCCCATGGTGTCTGTGCTGGTGCTCGCTCCCCCACTGGAGCTCACCATTCTCTTTATCCTTTAACATAATTTTCCTCCAGAAGTTATCGTCAGTCACATTTATCCTGCCTTTGTTTTCCTTTCCCTGTCTGCTGTGCGCTGGCATTTTCAGGAGGACATTAGTGCTTATCAGGGAAAGGCAGAGTGTTGTGTATTGCAGCTGTAATAATAATAATCATCATGATTAAACCTAAATTGCCGTCTCCTCTCATAGGGAAAGCGATCTCTTAATGTCCTTTTTGTATATTAACTTCACAAAGTGCCACAGGAAGCACCATCCATTTCACTCAGTAAAGATGGAACTGTTAATCACTTGTGTCAAAGAAGGCTCTGGAATACCAGCGCTGGGCTGCAAAAATAAAACCAAAGGAAGATTTGAGGGAAAAGACATTTGTTCAGGGATTAGAGATGACCATTTGACACTCTAACCTCTGAAATGGAACTCCCACCCTCAATCTTGCCCCATCGTGTTGTTGTTGTTGCTAGTGGTGGTGGTGGTGGTATTGCTGTTGTTATTGTTGGTATTTATTGTTGTTAGTGTTCATCGTTGTTGTTTATTATTATTATTATTGTGGTTGTAACATTTTCCCTCCTCTCTCTGCCTCTCTTTCAGTTTGCTCAGTTGGTCAACATCTACAAAACCCTGGGAGCCGAGAAGTTTCCCCTCATCGAGCAGACCTTTTACCCCAATCACAAGGAGATGGTAAGTCAAACCCCCCCCCCCCCTCCCAGGGAATTACTGCCGTGTGCAGTGACTGTTTTTCTAGGTATCTGAAACTTGAAATTTCACTCAAAATTAAAAAAATTCTCAAATACGGTTTTGAAAGGAAATTAATCTTAATTTGGAATCTAAGAACGTTCCTCCCGGTGTCAGGCTCGATGCCTCTCCTTCATCCAAATTTACCCCCGTCACACACACACACACACACACACAATCGGTAATCTGTTTGGAATTTGCAGTGTTTGACCACAAATCAGTTACTACACTTCAAAGTAACTTGTGGGGTGAATCACGTGTTATATTTTGATACATTGGGCAAATACAAGTTTTATTTATGTTATACATTTGTCAGATAATACAGTGATGTACATGTGTGGTTAGCCTTTAGGGTTTACTGTCATATTCTTATTGGGGAGGTGGGGGGGAAGGATGGGGAGATCTAATGTACAACGTATTTGTTGACAGATTTCTTAATAAGAAAGAGTGAGTCTGGAATGACTTTGTTGGGAGTGACCAGGGTACATTAACACCCAGCTTGTGGGTTTCAAGAGGGAAGTAGTGGGTAAGTGAAGGATGGAGGCTTGTGGTGGTATGGGGACACTGGTGTACAGCTCGCTCTGAGAGCTGGGGCAAACTCGGTGGGCCGAATGGCCTCTTTCTGCACTGTGAATGTCTATGGTTCTTTGAAATAAATGGTCAAGTCAGAGCCAGGGAGAGGACTGGGGGTGTGACGGTCGTTAGATGGACAAGTCTGATTTTGTTACTGGAGTCCTGGGGAGTGTGTGTGTGTTCCGTACTGACCTTTTGAGAGATCTTGAGCCGAATACAGATTGCGTTTGAGCCTCGGCTCAGTCTGGATCTGACCTGCAGCGTTTAATACCGACGGGCTTCCAAACCTCATTAACTGGAGCAGGAGGAGGCCATTTAGCCCCCGAGCCAGCTCCGCCCTGATTCTCCACCTCGCTGCCCCTCCTCCCCTCCCTTTAATATCCTTCATGTCAGTGCCTCAAATTGTGTCCCTCACATTCAACTGGGTCAGAGTTTGCCCTGTACCCAGTCTTACGCTGTGCCAACAACAACTTGCATATATATATATATATAGAGAGAGAGAGAGATACTGTAGAGCCTTTCACGTCATGAGGACGTGACTGAGGTACTGTTCATCTCCAACCCAAACCTTAATACCAAACCACCAGCCTTGCCAACCGTCTTTCACTGAACAGTAACACACACACATCGTTTATAAATCTCCCTCACCGCCCCCCCACACCTCTGTGAAAGAAAACAGCAAGGAAACCCTTTGATCTGTACAAGTTTATCTTTACCAACACAAAACAAGCAGCGACAGAGCAGACTTGAATTTACACAGCAGCCTGGGGGAGTGGGCGAGGGCGGGGATAGACTGTACACTTCTTGGTGCCTGATTGTAGAGACTGTTCGGAGCAGAATCTAGTGGGAGCAGTGGTGGGGTGTGTGTGTGTGGGGGTGGGCGGTGAGTGGGGGTGGTATATGGGAGATGGAGACAAAGGTCCCTCGTCATTCCCTGGCGTCTCTCGGGGCGGGTGGACACGCTGAGGGGCAGAGGGAGATCAGTCGGCTGCAGGCAGCGTAGAGAGATATGGTGAACTGACAGCGTTCATGGTGGATCATGGAGTCAGCTGCCCCCACACGGGGTTGATTTGTTTGGGGAGAGTGTTTGCATAGGGGAGGGAGTTGGGGTGCAGGGAGGGGAGCAAGAAGGGAGGGGGTGCAGGGAGGGGGCCTGGGTGCAGGGAGGGGGACTGGATGCAGGGAGGGGGGACTGGATGCAGGGAGGGGGACTGGGTGCAGGGAGGGGGCCTGGGTGCAGGGAGGGGGACTGGGTGCAGGGAGGGGGACTGGGTGCAGGGAGGGTGAGCAGGGAGGGGGAGGGGTTAGGGTTCCGATATGTCCATGAATTCCTTCTCTGGGGGTGATCCCCCCCGGTACCAGCTACACGAGCCGTCGCTGCGCTTGATGCAGGAAAAGTACTTGGCCTGGGGCCCATTGAGCGTCTTGTCCGTCAGCCGGTCAGTCCACAGGCAGTCGTTCTCCGCAGACACCGAGCAAGGTAGCGTGTAACACGTGGAGATCTGCAGCCAGAACAGGCAGTGTTACCACAGAGCATCGCATCACTGATGGCAACTAAATGCAGCACTGAACAGCTATACCCACAGACATATACACACACACAAGATACCCACACAGACAACCACACAGACACCCACACAGACACTCGAGCGCAGACCTTTGGAAAGTTCCCTAAACCCCGGCTTTTCTCCACGTTTTGCAGACGTGCGTGTGAAGAATAATAATCCTGGCATTTGATCCAGCGCCTCATCACGTCATTGAGACCTCGCAAAGCGCTTCACAGGATACACTGTAAAGTGGAGTGACTGTGTGATTTGTGGGCGAAACACAGCAAACAATGGCGCACAGCCATTGAAGGCATCGCTCTTGGGCTAGGAATGTGGGAGGGAATTCGGGGTTTGGACCTCTGGGCAAAATAAGGCGAGAGTCTCCCCTGGGGGGTTGGGTAGGCGGGGGGGGGGGGGGGGGGGGGGGGATTAACTTACCCGGCAATCGCAGCCCATTTGGTATCTGTGGTTCAGGTTCTTTCTCTGGGACAGGGTCAGCTCTTCCCAGGGCAGGATGTAATTACACAGCCCCACCTGCACTCGGCCATCACTACCCAGGTGGCCTGAAAGTAACAGAGACACGGGTGGTGTGGGGGTGGGGTGGGGAGACAGACACAGAGAGGAGAGAGAGAGAGAGAGAGAGAGAAAAAGGATCAGAAACAGGCAGCTCTCGCACATATTCAGCTCAGCATCATCAATAATCCTAATAATCATTATCATCGTAATTTATCTCAGCGTTTGATGCGGTGCCTTTCCCGTCGGGGGATGTCTCAAAAGCGCTTCGCAGGGTTTTACTGTCAAGTAAGGCATGCTGACTGTGTGTGCACAATGGCAGAGTGAGAACCCGCGTGTTGGGTGGGGGGAGAGTGAGAGCGGGGTGGTTAAATGGAGAGAGAGGTGGGGGGGGGGGGTGCGTAAGGCAATGCGGGGGGATTTCAAGAGATCTCCAGAGGAGGGGGCGAAGAGCAATGGCAGAGCAGAGCAGAGAGAGAGAGCCGTGGGGTGTGTGGACTTGGGTGGCTTGGTTGGGTGGGGGCATGGGTGCAGGAGAGGAACCCGCTGAGTATTGGGAGATTATGGAGGGGAAAGTTGGAGATGGGGATGGCAGACAGGTGTGTAGGTGGTTGGGGGAGCGGCCCGTGTGGGGGAGCAGGCTGGGGAGGGGGGCTGGTACCTGTGAGCAGATACTGGACTTTGCTGGTGGTGTTCAGGGTCACGCCGCAGGCCGCAGAGGTGGGCGCCGTGTACACAAACTGCACCGTCTTCTTCCTCTCAAACCCCTTAAACATCTAGAGAACGAGAGGGAAAGAGAGAGCGAGAGATCATTCCGTGTCTGGTGTGGGGGGGGGGCGGGGGTGGGTGGGGGGGTAACACGACACAGGCTGTCAAAACATTCCGTCCGGTCTCTGGGTAGGAAGTGCGCTCTCACCCCATTCTCTGCTCTCTCTCTCCCCCCATCGTGTCTGTGCTGGGGCTCGCTCCCCCACTGGAGTTCTCTACTCTCTACAAATACGATTCCATATTCCCTTTCAAAAGCTATGAACTGGGCCCAGGTCTCCTGCTCACCCCCCACTGTCAGTGCCACGGGCTCGAGCCGCAGATTCTTGCTGTTACCTTGATTTGTTTCACTTCGTACCGGATCAGGTCATTGTACACATCGAAGGATTCCCCGTTGTTTTCAGAAATCAGCTTTTTCCCGGAGATTTTTGCTCGGATCACTGTTTTAAAGGGAGAAACAGGAAAAATGACTAACAATGGGGAGGTGCAAAATCAGAACCCGTTGCTTTCTAATTTATAGTGTTTCACTGACAAACATTTACAGTCACTCCACTTTACAGTATATCGTGTGAAGCACTTTCAGACATCTTGATGACATGATAAGGCACTATAGCAAATGCAAGCATTATTATTAGAATGCACACTGTCGGTGAGTGGGGGTGGCAATGTTCATTGAATCACGCCCTCCCACCCCTCCCCGCCCGGCCAGGCTTGACCTGATCACTACGCCCTCCTGTTCCACTTGTCATTTCTCAGAACTTTTCATTTCTATCCTGTGCAACTAGAGGTGCTTCAGAGAGAGAGAGAGAGAGAGAGAGTGCTAACATGTGTCGCTAACAAGATTTCTTAATAAGGGGAGAGAGCAGGGAATGGGGTTAGAGTAGAGAGCTCCAGTGGGGGAGCGAGCACCAGTACAGACACGATAATAATATAATAATAATAATCCTTGCATTTGATATAGCGCTTTTCAAGTCTTATCGACGTCTCAAAGCGCTTCACAGAATAGATTGTAAAGTGAATTGACCGTATATTTGTGGGCGAGAGAGATAGAGAGAGAGAGAGAGCAGGGGATGGGGTTAGAGTAGAAAGCTCCAGTGGGGGAGCGAGCCCCAGCACAGACACGATGGGGGGTAAATGTGTATCATTGTAAAGTGATTGTTCCACTCTAATCCACTTGTAATAAGTGGTGTCTGTTGCAGTGATTGAGCTGAGAGGCTGTGCTGTGGGACTCGAGGATTCATAGCATCTCCTCATGTTCAATACTCAAAACAGACAAGCTAGTTCCGGCCCCAGACTCCCAGAACCTCTCCAATAGGGGGGACGGGGGCTGGGGGGTGGTGGTTACCCTGCACCATGCACTGTGAATGTCAGTGCCTGTGTCCAGCCTGACTGACTGACTTTCCTCACCCTGGCTTCTCTGAGATAGGTCAACACCGCATTTTATCACTGATCACTGTAGCGTGGGAAAGAGAGAGAAATAAACAGAGAAAGACTCTTGTGTGTGTATTTAAGCGAGAGAAAGAAATAGAGAAAATAAACTGAGAGAGAGAGAGAAACAGACAGACATTTCGTAGCACCTAATCATGTTAAGATGTGTCAAAATAGGTTTACAGTACCGAATTCGGTTTACAATGTTATCCTGTGAATTGCTTTGAGACGTCCTGCCAAACTAAAAGGGGCTGAATCATATGTGAGATTATTATTACTGTTAGTTATTCCTGTCAAGTGACTTTGACGGCGAGCGCAGCAGCCATTTCACACACAGCAAGAGGAAGTGATTAGAGAAAGACACACACTCACTGACATAGGTACACACACGCACACACACAGATAGAGACAGGCATAGAGAGTGAGAGAGACCGCAGACATTTATACACACGCATAGACATATACACAGATGTGTACATACAACGCTTTCTGGGAGTAATAATCCCTCCAATAAAAAAATAATAATTTGGCCACGACTGTTTGTGGGGACGCTCCTGTGCACAATTGGCTGCTGCGTTTCACCCACAAAATACACAGTCAATTCACTTTACAGTATATTCTGTAAAGAGCTTTGAGACGTCTCGAAAACGTGATAAGGTGCTGTATCAAATGCGGGTATTATTATTATGATTATTATTATGGAGTGAGCGCAAAACACCCAGGTAGAGCCTCAGAGCCAGGCAGAGCGAGGGCGAGATTGCTTCAGTGATTGTCACGTGAAAGCCGGCAATTATTTTGATTGGCAACGAGACTGTGTTGCCGTCAGTGCCTGTTAGCCAGCATCGGGGGTGGTGGGGTGTGGGTGGCTGTTGCTCGCAGCTTTGATCAGCTTCAGCCCGAAGCCTGACTGTACATGGCCTCCGTGGCCCTGGCGTCTGGGCTGCTTCGGTGGCAACATGTCAACGCAGGGCAAGCAGCATATGGTGCTGACAGAGAGCATCAGCCACACTCACGCTTACGCTCACGCACACACATGCACGCTCACACTCACGCTCACACACACGCACACACTGCTCCTCTCAGCACTACTTGTGTTTTAGAAGTGCATTACATATTAATGGTGAGGGTGTCAGGTTTTACTGCTGGCATCTGTAATAGCCTCTGCATGTTTGTTTAACCCCCAACACACACACACACACACCAGGAATATGACGCCCTGGGCTCTTTCGTCCCACTCACTCACTCACTTTGGCCGCGCGGAAGATGCTGTTAAACATAGCTATAAATAGTCTGTCTGAAGGATGGCGCCTCCGACAATGAAACAACAGCAACGACTTGCACTTATGTAGCGCTTCACATAGGTTAACGTCTCAGACCACTGTGTGTCGGAGCAGGGCTGACGTCCGTGGTAAAGTATTGCAGCTCAAGGCAGATCCCAATTGCTCTAAATGAATTTGCGCTGTGGAATTTACAGCCAGACTTCAGTATTTTCAGGAATAATTGGTTTGTTTTTCTCCCAGTCACTGCAACACACAGTCTGTCAGACCCCTGCTCTCCTCTCCTCTGCTGCCCATTATACAGAGGCTGCACAGGGAGATTCTCGTCGTGAGACTATCGCAAATGAGCATCCTCGAAAAGTGCTGACACTCATTACCGGGAACAACGTGTGCCAACACCGTCCCCCGTTTCCCCGCTCCGAGACCCTGCCCCGCGTGAAGGCGCTATATAAATGCAAGTTGTTGTTGTTGATGATGATTGAGCCGTTGTCTGCATTATGCTGTAGAATTAGCATTCGAGACAGCAGAGGTCAGGAGCTGGACTCATCAATCCCACTCCTTCTACACCCATCCCACCCCCTTCTCCCCCCGCCCCCCCTCCACCTCCACCCCCCCCCCCCTCACACACACACCACACACACAGTCCACTTCCTGTACACAGCCATCCCTGAACCCCAAAACATAAAGGGAAATCAGAGGGGTAATTCCAGAATATCTATGAACCCCCATCCTAGCAAGTTTCTGTGTGAGGAGCTAAAGGCTCCAACGTGTTAGAGGGTCAGGGAGAGACGGGGATGGGGGGGGGGAGAAGAAAACAAACCCCACGGTCACTATAACCTGATACAGTGTCAGTGAGTTAATTAACTCCAGATAGAACCATTGAGATTTACAGCACAGGGGAAGGCCTTCAGCCCATTGGGGCTGTACAGCTCCTTTAAGAGCAATTCATTTTAGTCCCATTTAACTGCCCTCCCGACCCCCCCTCCGTAACCCCAGAGTTTTGCCTTATCTCCTGGGGGGGGGGGGGGGGGGGGGGGTGGCTGGGGGAGGGAGATTAAGAGTCATTTTGCTTTAGAATCCACAAGTATTTATAAATATATGAATAAAAAAGAGTCCAAGAATAATCCAGCTAAACAACCCAGGACGTAAAATTACGGTGTAATACAATTTACATTTATAGAAAGCCAGTCAAGTGGGAGGTAAAATCACAAACATGTCCAAAGCCAGGCTTGCATGTGGCTTGCCCTCCCTCTTCCCGCCCCCCCCCCCCACCCCACACACACACATATACCCTGAGCTGTGGGGGGCTCTGCCGTGTTTTTTCCGACTCAGTCCTGGGAGCCGGGAGAATGCTTTCTGTCTGAGGCCGGATTTCGGGAGCCATGCCATGGATTCTCTAAGGCCACCCAAAGGGGAGCCCAAACACTTCATTGTGGGGAAGTGTGTTCTGAGGACAGCTTTGTTGAGCAAACTGAAAAGCCAGTGTAGTAAAACAAAAAGCCTCGGGCTGTCTAAAAACACACTGGGATTCAGTTACTGTAAAAGAATGTTGTAAATTAACATTAGCAGATACTTTATCAAATTGGGGCCAGGCTGCAATAGAAAAGTGCCCCTCTCTTGACAGGTGCTCGGAGTTTCTGGTGTGTGTGTGTGTGTGTGGAGGGGGTGTGGGGTTGGTGGAGGCAGAAAGAGAGAGAGAGAGAGAGAAAGGGGTAATTACATTTATACTACCCACCGCTTGTTGGCTTGGAATCCTGTCTCTGCTATCTGACACCAATGATTCATGCATTATAGTACTGTACTGTCACACACCAGCTTGTGAAAGAGCCTTTCACTGCCTGATGTAGCTGGCAGCTTAAGCCTGTCTGTCAGGCAGGGTGGTGTGGGCTGGGGTGCACCTAGGGACATTCCTCCCGAAGTGAAAGACCCTATATAAACACTACTTGTTATTGTTGTTGGGTGCTGACTCACATCTCATCTCAGTCTGGGAAGTTTTCCCGCTGCTTGTCCAGCTAGGACCACCCTACCTGTTAGCGCTTTGGTTTCTAGGGTTAACGAGAGCTGAGTGGGATGACTACCTGACCTTCCAGGTCCTGTGGATGAGCCGGGCCGGGCTGCCATCAGCAGTGAGTGCCCTGGGATACTGCGGCCCCTCCTGGCTCGGGGACCGGACTAGAGACCATCACGGAAGACGGGCTCCATTCCAATATTATCTCATCCCCACTGTGGAGGCAGAATTTTTTGCAACATGCATTTACCCCAGGGAGCTGTCTCACTCCCCAACCACCCCCACCCCCCAGCCCCCATCCCAAACCCCAACTGCTTCAACCCTGCCAGAGAAAGACACACTAAATTGAACTTAACATCCAAGAAAAAACACACCCCAGCCAAGCTTTTGATCTCAGCTGGTGATTGGAGCTGCAGGAAAGCATATTTATTTAACTTTGGAAACTGTATTCTCGCTGTTCTTTGGCTGAGCAACAGGACTTTGGGGGCCGAGGGGTCGGCGTGAGGGGATGGGGTCCTTGGTCAGTACTGAGGCTGTCCTGAAATCACTGACACCCCCTAACCTTCCCCACAACCCCCCCCCCCCCCCCCCCCCACCACCCCCCATCAAAGGGACAGACTGTGTGGGGCTGAGATTGTCAGTGACTGAGCTCAGTCCGTCTCTCTGTGTCTCAATGTTACCAGCGACTGAGAAAAGGAAACTCCACCCCGGTTTGTAATCTTATTTATGATCAGAATGTTTGGGCAAAAGGCTTTACTGACTCTCCGGCTGTGTGTACGATGTGCTGTGTGTATGTGTGTATATATATATATATATGTGTATCTATTGAAAAAGGTAAGTGAGATCAAATGATCAAGAGAAGTTTCAGAAAGTGAGGAAGTCTGAAACCAGCTGTTTTGGGGGTAATAATAAACTACCCCCCACCCCCCACCCCCATATCTGGCTGGTTGCACGTTATGTGCCCTGACCTGGGTTTGGTGCTGTGAGACACACACACACACACACATATATAATATATATACACACCGACTTACCTATGTCGGCGCTGCAGAAGGCTTGCTGGAGGTGAGCAGGAGAACAGCTACAGCCACCCACAAAGTGCTGTACTCGGAGCGACAGGAGAAGCAGCGACGAGGCGAGGAAGCGAGTCCCTGAGTTCCTCATAGCTTCACTGCAACTCTCTCACTCTCACACCACACGCAGAGCCACAGCACAGCTCAGCCTCAGCACAGCCACAGCTCAGCACAGCTCAGCACAGCCTCAGCTCAGCACAGCCACAGCTCAGCACAGCAGAGCCACAGCACAGCCACAGCACAGCCACAGCACAGCTCAGCACAGCCACAGCTCAGCACAGCTCAGCCTCAGCTCAGCACAGCCTCAGCTCAGCACAGCCACAGCACAGCTCAGCCTCAGCTCAGCCTCAGCTCAGCACAGCCACAGCACAGCTCAGCACAGCCACAGCTCAGCACAGCCACAGCTCTCTCTGGGCTTTGCTTCTGAGCAAAGCAAAAACTGCCGTCGATTTCCTTTCCTTCTCTCTCTCTCTCTTGTCTTTTCTTGTCGTGACTCTCAGTCACTGTTTGTGGATGTGATTGTGTGTGTGTGTGTCTCAGTGTGTAGGTGACTCTGCCTGTGTCAGTCTGTGTGTGTCAGTCTGTGTGTGTGTCAGTCTGTGTGTGTCTCTCAGTCTGTGTGTGTGTCAGTCTGTGTGTGTGTCTCTCAGTCTGTGTGTCAGTCTGTGTGTGTCTCACAGTCTGTGTGTGTGTCTCAGTCTGTGTGTGTGTTGTGATCTGTCCCAAGTTTTCCAGAAGTATTTCGTTCGTCAGTCAGTTTGGGCGTTTGTTGAAGCCACGAAGAAATCTCCGAATGTGGCGTTTCTCTCTCTCTCTCTCTCTCTCTCTCTGTGTGTCTCTGTCTCTCTCTGTGTCTGTCTCTGTGTCTCTCTGTGTCTGTCTCTCTTTGTGTCTCTGTCTCTGTGATTCTCTCTCTGTGATTCTCTCTCTCTGTGTGTCTCTGTGTGTCTGTCTCTCTCTGTGTGTCTCTGTCTCTGTGATTCTCTCTCTGTGTGTCTCTGTGTGTTTGTCTCTCTCTGTGTGTCTCTGTGTCTGTCTCTCTCTGTGTGTCTCTCTCTCTGTGTCTCTGTGTGTCTCTGTGTCTCTGTGTCTGTCTCTCTCTGTGTGTCTCTCTCTCTGTGTCTCTGTGTCTCTCTCTCTCTGTGTGTGTCTCTCTCTGTGTCTCTGTGTGTCTCTGTGTCTGTCTCTCTCTGTGTCTCTCTCTCTGTGTCTCTGTGTGTGTGTGGCTGGTAGCTCTCTCACATTGCTGTCATGGACAGTATATATAAGGTCTATCCTCTCCTCTGTGTCGCTCCGCCTTCACACTGCGCCTCCAGCCATTCTCGTTGCTTTGAGCAGTTGTGTGACAATCCCACCGTTACGCATTGCCAAAGCCCACACCAACTAATCACTTCAGGTCGATTTTACGCTGTTAATTCCCGCTGTTCCTCATCACTGAGGATATCTGGAAACAGCAGTCTGGCAATTTGTCACATTCAATGTGAAATATTAAACACAGACTCACACACACACACACACAGCGCCTCTGTGTCAGGGCCAAAGGAGATGTGAGGGTTTGTTTATTAAAAATGAATGTTTAACCACAACAACTTGCATTTACACAGCGCCCTTTACAGCGCTGGACAGTGGCGGAGTCTGACCCCGAGCCCGGGGGGAGAGGGGGTGGGGGAGGCGGGGAGGTGACCATAAGCACGATCGAAAAGGAAGGTCTTTAGGCGGGTTTTGAAAGTGGGCGAGGTGGCGGGATTGAGGGAAATAAATAGTGAAATCAGTCACACTGATCACTACTTACCCGCCCATACCCTCTGTTCCTCTGGCTCCGGTCTGCTCCACATCCCCCGCCCCAACCGCCCGACCATCGGTGGCCTTCAGCCTCTCAGCCCCGAGGCTCTGGAACTCCATCCCCAGTGCCTTCGCCGCTTCCTCCCTTTCCTCCTTCAAGGCCGGTCTCAAGACCTTTCTCTTTGACCTTCAGCCTTCAGCTCCCCTCTCGACTCTCTACCCCATCCTCGCCCCCTCCCTTCCCTCCCCTCACCCTGACCATTCCCCCCCTCCTCGCTCCCTCCCTTCCCTCCCCTCACCCTGACCATTCCCCCCCAATGCTCGGGTCCCGACCCAACCGTCCAGCGCTTTGGGACGTCCTCCCGACATGAAAGGCGCTCTATAAATGGAATCTTGTTGTTGTTGTTGTTGTTGATCAATATTAAACTTGTTAGCTTTTAGTTTTTTTAAAAAAAAACGGAAGTGAAATATCTGCTGCTTGTGAATTGCACAAACCAAACAGAACGTTAGGTCAAAATATATGTTTTTGCACCTTTTACATTTCTTCCATTTTAAAAAAAGTAAAGTAATTATCTGTAAGAGAAGGGAATTTCTCTCTCCTTGGCCTTATTGGCTGACAATTCCCCCAAATAAAATCGGTCACTAACTTCGTGGCTGTTTGTGGGATGTCGCTGTGCGCAAATTGGCTGCCGCCGTTCACCCACAAATCACAGTAAATCCTATGACGTGCTTTTCAGACATCTTCCTGACGTGAAAGGCGCTGTATCAGATGTGAGGATTATTATTATTGTTATTTATCATAAGGAATCTGTTGGGAAATACCTCAAGTTTCAGCCCTATCTCTCACCCCGTCTCGCTCTCCCTGTCTGTGTCTCGCCCCGGCTCTTTCATGAAGTATTAAGATTAGCCACCAGTGCGTGCACTTTACTTGGATGTCAGAAGGCATTTGATGAGGTTCCTCTTGTGAGACTTTTAAAGAGCAACATTGCCTCTGACGCCCTCGAGGATTCTTGATCCTAGCTTGACCTCGGAGCTAAACACCTCATCTCCAGGTTCCTGTTCCTCACCCACAGGGAGATCACTCACTGAATAAGTTCATTTCCCTTCAACTCCACGCGGTATTTGGTAAACATATCACTCGGTAAATTCTGAGCCGAGGAAATGAATGGTCAGCTCAAGGCTGTTTCCAATAAACTGGTTGTCAGACGCTGGATGTTCTCCAGTGAGTGAACTGCTTTAATATGAGTTTTTTTTCTGTTTCTGCCAATAACAATCCGTGGCAATTGATCTCCCTTGTTTCAGCTTCAATCAATTGTTGGCCCCACAATGAATTCACTCGCCTGTCCGTTCCCTGGTTAAACTCACCATTTTAACAAGCATCCCTTTGTTTCCCCCCTTTCCCCACACCAGTCATTCACTTATAATAATAATAATCCTCGCATTTGATACAACGCTTTATCATGTGGTTGAGACGTCTCAAAGCGCTTCGCAGAATATCCTGTAAAGTGAAGTGACTGTGTATTTTGTGGGCTTCATGGCTGTTTGTGGCATTGCCATGCACAAATAGGCTGCTGTGTTCACCAGTCACTACAGTTCACAGATAAACTCTGCGAAGCACTTGCTTTGAGACGTTTCGTCAGGCTACAGCACTGCATGAAGCAACAAGCTTTATTATTATTATCAGCGTTATTATACGTGGGCGAGACTGGCATTTTCTGCCCATTCCTCGGTTACCCTGGACAGGTGCCTCTGCTCCAGCTTCTCTTTATTTAGCTATTCGTACTCGAACCATTAAAGAAAAACATTTCCATATTTGGGGACAATTTTCCTAAGACAAGTGACTGATGTCAGCACTGCTACGGAATGCACTCTGTTACCATGAGGATAAGCGTCTCATTACTGCTACCCAATTTGGACAGTTTAACCTCTGAAGGTGGCAGCCGGCAGTGATGTACAGATGTGTAAAATGGGACTAATGCGTTAGCAAGTGGAACACTTTGAATTACCTTAAATTTTCATGCTCATTACAGTGGCCCAGCTCTGCCAGTCTGCACCTTGTCAGCCTGACTTTTCCCGTGACTGGGAATGATTAAAGTGAACAGTGCTGTCTTTATTGCAGAGGGCTGCATCCCATGTTTCACAGGACGTGATTTAAAGAGTGAGAGTGATTTACAGGCCACTCAGCCCACCGTGTCTGTGCTGGGGCTCGCTCCCCCACTGGAGCTCTCTACTCTAACCCCATTCTCTGCTCTCTCTCTCCTCCCCCCCCCATCGTGTCTGTGCTGGTGCTCGCTCCCCCACTAGAGCTCTCTACTTCAGTGGGAGTAACATCGCAAATTATACCCCTGACAACCCATTAATCTCCTGTCTCTTCCAATAAATGTTCTGTCTGTCTCTGTTAGTGGGAGTGCAGCAGGTCCCTTTATTGCCAAACCCACGATAAATAACATCCAATTTTGTCCTCAACAAAGTGGGGGGAGAGGGAGTGTCAAAGCTGGTAGCCTTTCTAGCACATTCAGATTGCAATGATGTGTATGTGGAAGCAGCTGTGATGAGAGAGGAGTCTCAGGTAAAGACCGACTGGAATTTTTTGTGCTTTTGTAGCTGAGCTTGCCGACGTTCCCGGTGGTGGTGAAGATCGGACACGCTCACGCGGGAATGGGAAAGGTAAGCAGACCCTCCTCACCAGGGAACACACACCTGTCTCCGCTTCACAGGTCAACCCTCGCTGCCCTAGTATAATTCAGTGTTTGATTCCATGTGTACATATGTGATTCCATGTGTACCTACGTGATTCTGAGTGTACAGGACGGACTGTGGTGTGAAAAACATGAGCCTCGAAGTATCCCATGGTCTTGGTCTTAAGACCATCATCTTAAGGCTAAGGGACAAATGCGCATACGACTGCCAGGAAGGTGATCTAGATGGACCTTGGTCTTTTTTTTTGTCTAGTATTTCTTATGTTCTTATGTCTTAAAATCTAAGATGGCCGAGAGTTTAGTAAACATCTCAAATTTGTTTTTGGTTTGTGAGCCGTTTTTTTTTCCCCCACCGTGGTCTTTTTCAAGAAGATTCTTCCAGATTTAGTCAAATCCAAAGGTAGTAGTTTTCATCAAATGTAGTAGTTTTCCCCAAACTCTGCTCAGATTCCTCAGCATTGAGATTGAGGCAGGAGGTGGCAGGATTCTGGGCTTGTGAAATGCAGGACATATCGTGAAGTGCTCAGTGATCACGGTGTTACGTGAACGTTTCAGAACCTGCTCTTTATCTGCTTCTCTTCTCTTTCTTCTCCCTCACTTCCCCCACCCCCTTCTCTCTCTCTGGTCTGTTCTTCTCTGTGCTACAACACATTGGATGATGTCAAGGTGAAAGTGGAAAATCACTATGATTTTCAGGACATAGCCAGCGTGGTGGCTCTGGCTAACACCTACGCTACAGCTGAACCTTTCATAGACTCCAAATACGATATAAGGATTCAAAAAATAGGAAGTAATTACAAGGCGTACATGTGAGTAAATATTATTATTATTAATAATGTCCATCCCGCTCGCTAGTGGGATTTGGGTCCTTGGGAATCGTGATTCCCATCATTGCTAACCCGAGTGTGACTGATGTTTTTACAGTGTGTTGTGTGGTGTCACCTAATTCCACACATCTCCTTGTGTAAATTGCTTTGATTCCCCCACCTCCAACCCCTTCCCTTCCAAACTCACCTACAGCAACTGTTTTTCTATACGTTGTGTTAGCACAAGAGTCAATCAATCAACCAATCAAATTTAGAAAGAGCATTGGCAGCCTGTCACTGAAAGACAAAACCATTGCTTTGTTGGCTGTTTGTGAAACCATCACTGTATGTATCTCGATTCTCATTTCTAGGAGAACCTCAATCTCCGGAAACTGGAAGACAAACACTGGATCTGCCATGCTGGAACAGATTGCCATGACCGACAGGTGAGCAAGAGCATCCATGAGTGAGTTAGAGTAGAGAGCTCCAGTGGGGGAGCGAGCCCCAGCGCAGACACGATGGGGAGAGAGAGAGCAGGGAATGGGGTTCGAGTAGAGAGCTCCAATGAGGGAGCGAACACCATCGCAACAAGGACTGCAGAGGTTTAAAGAGAAGGTCCCACCACCACCTTCTCAAAGCTGCTCAGGATGGGCAATAAATGCTGATATTTGCTGCCTGCAACCTAACAAAAAGTTTGCAAACCTTTCCTCACTGGCCTTTGAGTGAAACACTCTCCACATTGGGTCTGTGGCAGTTAGCGTGCTGCAGATATAACCCTGGCTGTGAGCTGAGAAGCAAAGTCACCAAGAACAGCCTCCCCAGAGAACAGCCTCTCACACACTCTGACTTATATGAGCAACAAAACGGTCCTGAATATCTCTTGCCTTCTGCTCAGCGGTTGACATATGGCCCAGCAGGAGGAAGTCGTGGTCATTATCTTTCTCCCAATTAAAATTGGATCAAGTAAATTGCCCCTTAACGGAATAATAAACTCAGATTAACATCAATTACCAGATGTTTGTGAAATGTGGCTGGTTTTCATCCAATGGACCTGACTCTGAACCATTCGCTGGAGACGCTCAATGTCATTGGCTCTCTTGGATACTCAATGTCATTGGCTCTCTCACACACTCAATGCCATTGGTTTTCCCAGGGGCTCCATGTCATTCCCTGATCCTCTCATTTCCCGAGCCCTGGCTCTTTCCTGCTGTCTGGAAGCTAGAGGCTCAGAAATTCTCCCTGGCCTTAGCCTGAGCATCTTTACACACGTCAGATAACACAGAATCGTGGCAGATTCTTCAATTCAGCCTGAATTTGCGAATCATTTTCTTCTTGAGCAACAATGACAAATCGGATTCGAGAACTTTCCGGAATTGCGTGCTGGCCGTGGCGCCGGGCGCTGTGTGGGTGCGCGAAGCTCCAAAGTGCCTCAAAGAGGAGCAACGCGCACTACACCTGCTTCTCCTGTCTGACAGGTACAAGCTTTGGGTTGACAAGTGTTCGGAAATCTTCGGCGGGCTGGACATTTGTGCCGTGAATGCTGTTCATGGCAAGGATGGCAAGGATTACATCATTGAGGTAAGGGACCGATTACACAGGCACCAGCGCAGGCACCTGGGACTGATAAGACAGTTGATTCTCTGAGTGACGGAGCGAAATGGCATTAAAGTGCATCACAGGTGATTCCTGCCAAGTGTAGTGACTGGTTTTGTAGCCCAGAGCGGCCCCATGATTACAGGATGCAGACACAATGCAAATGACAGGAAATCCTGGAGCTTGCTTATGTCTGTACAATACAAACCCTGAGACTTCACAGCCAGGATTACAGCTTTGTAGAACCGTTGTCGTGGCAACACGGGGCTGAATCGTGGAGGTGAAATAGTGGAGCGCGGAGACCGTGACAAGAGGCAGCCACGGGGGGGGCCAGAACTAATCCCCCGTCCGTCCCTGTAACCTCAACACCATCAGCGGGTCCCAGTCAGCAAACTTCACACCGTGCTGTCACCACAGTCATCCCGGGCAGAGAGAGCACTTCTCTCTCACTTTCTCTCTCTCTCTTGCTCTGTATTTCACTTTATCTCTCTCTCTCTCTCTCTCTCTCTCTCGCTGTATCGTTCTCTCTATCTCTCGCTTACTCTGTCTCATTCTATCTCTGTGTGTGTCTCTCTCTCTCTCTCTCGCTCTCTCTGACTGTCTATCTCTGTATCCTGGGATGTGGTATCGTGGAGGATGGGAGACCTCTGGTACCCGCTCCCCATCGTCCATGTGTGAGCCTTGCAGTGAGTATCATTTGCCTGTAGAGGGCGCCAGAGTGGCATCTGACCACTCCCCAGCGGCTGCTACACTCACACACACACACACAACCGATAGAGGGCACTGTAGAGGGACCAGGAGCAGTAACCTTGGCTGCTTTTCCCCCTCCCTAATCCTCGGTGAACAATGTATCCCTGGCGGAGACCAGTGAACTCAGCACAGACCGAGATGCGAACCACCCAGCTCCTGGTGTGTGAGTTGCCGTTGTATCATGGCTGCCCTGGGCTGCTGGTGCCCTGGCCTCCCTCACTGTCCCAGTGTGTATATGTATACATAAGAGATACTTCCCGGTCTCTGTCCTGAGCAGGCTCCTGACGCCTCTTGCCTGTGACCTCCCGCAGGTGATGGACTGCACCATGCCGCTCATCGGCGAGCACCAGGCGGAGGACCGGGAGCTCATCACTGCGATGGTCGTCGGCAAAATGAACCAAATGGCGAAGACATCAATCCCATCGCCTCAGAAACCCACTGCCACCCGGCAACCCCAGGTATATAACCCACCCTCCCTCGGCAACCCAGGTAAATACCCTGCCCCCACCCCCCCCCACCCCCGTGCCTGACAATCCAGGTAAATAACCCCTGGTGACCCCAGGTAAATGCTTGACCCTCTGTTCCAACATGGGTGGCCGCACTTTCAGTCACTACACCGCGAAACTAGAACACTTCCTCTACTCCTCTATATATTTTGCCCATTCCCTCCCCATCTCCAGATCGCGCCTGAAGACCTTCCTCTTCGACCGTGCCTATGGTCACCTCCCACCTAACCCCTCCCCCCAGTTCGGTGTCGTGCTCAACCACTGTCAAGCGCTCGGGACTCTACCCTACGCGAGGGGTGCTGTGTAAATGCAAGTTGTTGTTGTCGAAGTGCGAGACTGAGCTTTATTGCCTGTTTGTGGGTTTGCTTTGCAGAGCGGAGGTTTGAAGGAGACACAAGTGGGCTCGCTCCCTGCCCAGCGTCCTCCACCACAAGGTTGTTTGCAGTATATTCTGGACTGTAATGGTGTTGCTGTAGGGCCCAAACAAGTACAGGCTTCTTAATGCATATTACAGGACACAGGATGGTGCTTTTTAAGCGATGTTGAGGAAAAAGACAAATGTTCTCTGTGCAATGTGTGAGTGCTGACCTGGACTGTTCTTTTCTAATGCAGTGTCAAAGCTGTGCTGCTTTCTCTGTCACTGTGTGTGTGTGTATGTGTGTAAGTGTGTGGGTGCCTATCCTTTGCTTCGCTCGCTGTGTTGTTACTGTATATTTTTTTGTTTGGTGACCGCATTTTGGGGAACCGCAGTGATGTGCAGGAGCGGACACAACTGTGGGAGGGAATCAGATACAGAGAGAGAGAGAGAGAGAGAGAGACAGTGGGGTGGGGGTGGTGGGGGTGGTTAACACCGAGAATGATGTTATTTGTGGGTTAATTCAGCCCAACTTCATCAATTCCTTGCGTTTCATTTTATTTATTCGGTTAACCGGCTTCATTTTAATCCATCCCTCAGTCACTCCAGACACAACAACAACAACAACATGACACCGATGTAGCACCGTTCACGTCAGGCGGACGTCCCAAAGCGCTGGACAATTAACACGGACATTTTCAGCACAGAAGGAGGCCATTCGGCCCGTAGTGTCTGAACCGCTCGTTTGTTTTGTGTCTTGTTCCTACGAGAGAATCCCCCCCACCCCCATCCCCACCCCCCTTCCCCCGACCCTGCTCACTCCCCGAATCCCCCCCCACCCACCCCCCCCGGGTGTGAGAGCAATCCTAGGGCGACACCTGCGGCTCAGCCGCAGTACTGCAGCCCTCGTCTTTATCGGCAGCTTTTTACCAGCGTTTTGGTGAGTGAGGCCAACAACAACAACAACTTGCATTTATATATCGACCTTCAAGTGGGGCTCTGTCTCGGAGCGCTTTATCCCCGTGCGTTTGGGTCTGGGAAGCGTTGGGGCAGGGAATGGGAGTTTTTGTGGAGAGACAATCAAGCGAACCTGATTGGAGGAGTTTAAGGAGATGGAGGGTTTAGATATTTGGTTGTGTTTCTCTGCTGTGTAGAAAATATAAGCAGAAACTGTCACAACCTGACAAGAGCACAAGAGAAGTGAAGGGATGCTTTTAATGACAGGGTGATGATGAGCACGTGGAGCAAATTATATAAGATGCACCTAAAAGAAACTGGACAAGTTTACTGGGTTGAGGGTTATTGATGATGAGGTGTGGAGGGTATTGGTTGATGATGAGGTATGTGGCAGTTACCTGTGAGAAGGTTACGGTGAGGAGTTGAAGAGGTAACAGTGGTGGCTGAGACGTGGGAGAAACCTTCTCAGCAGTTGGCCACCATTGTAGTTTCCGCGGGAACTAAATGCAAGGTTATTATATTTGACTGAATCACAAACTAAGATTCCTCACTCAGAGCGGCTCAGACCTTCAGAATTTAATTTGATTTAATTTGATTTAATTTGATGCCTTATTTAAAATCACTAAAAACCCAGAGTTATATAATGTTCAGAGTTCGCCTGAAAGTTGTGCGCTCAAAAAATACGCACACAAATCTCTTCTTGTGTCTGTGTGTATCTGGGTGTGTGCATGTGTGTGTGTGTATACTTGTGTGTGTGTGCACGCGTGTGTGTGTGTGTATGCATGTATATCTGTATGTGTACCTGCGTGTATCTGTGTGTCTTTTTGTGTGTATGAATATCTGTGTTTCTGTATGTCTGCATGTGTATGTTGTATGTCCAGAGTATGTCTGTGTGTGTGTGTCAATTTCCGCATATGTGTGTGTCTACGTATGTGTGTGTGTCTGTGTGTATGTTTGCATGTGAATGTGTGTGTCTTTGTGTTTACATGTGTATGTCTGTTCTGAACACTCACTGATGGGTCCCCCCCACCCACCCTCCGCTGTGCCCCTCTCCCTCGAGAGTCGAAAATATTTAAATCAAATTCAGATTTTATTATATTGGTGGAGAAGATTACCAGATTCAGATAAAACTCCCGAGGCCTGAAATTCCACCTGAGAGGTCATTTGGGGCAGAATTGTGGACATTATTTCTTAAATTCCAGCCTTTGGTTGGAATCCTTTCCTCCCCCACCTTCGGAAACACAAAGGGGAAATGCAGAGCCGATTCAGTCTGGCCGACAGATATAATAATCCGTGTATTTGATATAGCGCTTTATCACGTCATTGAGACGTCTCAAAGCGCTTCACAGAATACACTGAACAGGAGTGGCAATTACACTCAGCAGGTCAGGCAGCATCTATGGAGAGAGGAAAGTGGGTTAACGTTTCAGGTCGATGACCTTTCATCTACTGTATACTGTGTCTCCCTTTTGTATACTGTAAAGTGTAGTGACTGTGTATTTTGTGGATGAAACGCGGCAGCCAATCGTGCACAGCAGATGGCACAACCGGGGGGGGAAGAGGTGTATTACAACGGGAGAAGAGGGTGGGGGGGGGTTGGTGATATTTGGGGGGCTGGGGGCTGCCCGCTTCTCTTCTGCACGTGTGGAGTATTATACATTCACAGCCTTGTATCTGGGGGGGGGGGAGGGGGTGTTCCACAGATAGACAGTCTGGTGTTGTGGCTAAAAGGAATGAGAGAGAGAAAAATACACGTCCTTAAATATTTTTAATCTCGGAGGTCGTGTGAGTAACGCAGCCCCGACATAAACATTCCTGCTCAAATCACTTTATTGGGAGTGGGGAGGGAGGGGGGGGGAGGGGATGCATGCCAGCATGTGACCATTAAATGTTAACCATTGAGGTGACAAAGTGTTTTCGGGTCGTTTGCGGAGACCGAGGGGAATGTGTCGTTCTCTCCCTCGCCCGCGGTTGCCCGCGGTTAGGAACAGACAGACCCGCGGTGGGTTGGCATCAGTGAGCCCGGGCGCTGGAGACCAGCTTTGATGTGCAATAAAACACAAAACGGCCGAGCCCGAACCCGGGGTGTGTCGTCCTGCTGATTCCGTGTGTGTGGTCGTAGCCAGCCAGGGCTTCCCTCCCGTGTAAGCTGTCAATCCTGTGTGTGTGTGCGCGTGCGTGTGTGTGTGCGTGTGTGCGTGCGGGTATGTGCGTACACCTGTGTGTGTAAATTGGCGGATTCGCACAAAACGACCCCGAAAAAGACCGTTTGATTACTGCAGCAGGTGTGTCTCCCTCACACTCTCATTCTTACACACTCTCTCACGCTCTCACACTCACCCTCTCCCTCTCTCTCGCTCGGTCGGCCCAGGCTGCTTACACCCCCTATCTGATGCCCAGAGAGAGCCCCTGTTGAACCACTCACTCAGAATGTGTCTCGTTTAATCACTGAAAATCTGGTCGAAAAGTGATGTACATTGCGAGGCGGCTATGACTTTTTATACAAACTGGTTGTTTTATTTGAAGGCAAAATGTCTAATTGTCTGGTATGATGGTGAGGCAGGAACGGCAAGGGAATGAAATCCAGCACTTGGGAGTGTGTGACGGGGCGGGGATGTGGAATGGGGGCACAGGAAGAGAAGGAGGCCATTCAGCCCACCCAGCTTGTCTCTCAAGTGTATCAGAGATGATGATTAGATCTTCCCATCCCCACCCCCCCCACCCAAGACCCAATGGTCACAAGTCTCTCTGTTTCGTTGTTACGGGGGTGGGATTAGGGCCAGGCCGCTTACTGTTAATAATTCTTACATCTCACACAGCCACAGCACCCTTCACATCAGGAGGACGTCTCAAAGCACTTCACAGGATTCACTGTGAGGTGTAGTGACTGTGTTTTTGTGGGCGAACCTATTTTCAACAAGTTACCAAACGTGACTCGTTTCCAGCATTGGTTTCGTCAAATAAGCAAAGGTTCAAGAAGGACATTAAATAATGCTCAGCAAATACAAGCCATGATATATACCCCAGCCAGGCCGGTGTGCCTGACATGGCTGGTTCTATCTCTCGGTATCTGGCACGCTGCTTATTGAGCTCATTATCTGTCTGGCTCGGCTTGGGCTGTTGCTGCTCTCAGTGACCTAGCCTACTATCTCTGTACAGCGTGTTCTGAACACCCAGACTACCTTCCTCTTGTTGCTGAGTTAATTTTACCTCCGCACTCCCTCACCACCACCGATCTCTTCACTCACCCCCACCCATACACACACACACACACACATTCCCTCCCTCTCTCCCTCCCTTCAAAATTCCTCCGAAAAATTAAAAAAAACTCCCAACTACGTTTTTGGTCAACATCCAAAATTCTCCTGGTTCAGTGCTCCCTAGAGAAACACTTTGAGATGTTCATCCTACATGAAGAGTGCTGTGTCTCTGTATTGGATTCATTAAAAGCATTATTCCTTGCAGGAACGTGTACAAAATCCCTGGACCTCAAAATCACTGGACATAATTCACTGGTCTACAAAATTACTGAATTACAAAATCATGGCACCCGGAATATATGGGGAGCACACAATGGTCTCCTGTGATCCTGTCAGGCCCCTGGTGAAATCTACCCTAGAGAGCAATCGTTGGCAAAGGTGGAGCCACAGACATTATAATAATAATCCTTGATATAGCGCCTGATCACGTCTTTGAGACGCCTCAAAGCGCTTCACAGGATATACTGTAAAGTGAATAGACTGTATATTTTGTGGGCGAAACGTACTTGTACATCCAGGTGCTGGGTTTCAGAGTTTAATGAGAATTCTTGTCAGTGTAACTTGGTGAAGTTTTTCTTGTGCTGAACGTAGGGGGCCCAACACAACCCCAAGGATCGCGTCCATCTGGCCCGGACCCTGCTCATCAACAGCGCCCTGGCCCCCAGGGACCACGTCCAGGAGGGCCCTTGCAACCCACAGGCCCCCCACCACCGCAGCAGCAGCAACTGCAGCAAAGACCACCTAGCCAAGCAGCCCCACCAGACAAGGCACTACAGGGCCAACCGCTGAGAGGTCCCCAGGGTCAACTGCAGAAGGCATCTCAAGGCCAACCGCCAATAGGACTCCAAAGCCAACCGCCAATAGGACCCCAAGGCCAATTGCCAAGAAGACCCATGGGCCAACCAATGATAGGACCCCAAGGTCAACCGCTAAAGGGATCGCATGGCCAACCACCAATAGGACCCCAGGGCCAACCAGCATCTCAAGGACAGCCCTTAAGAAGACCCCCTGAGCAGCAGGTCCAGACCCAGCCTCCAATCAACTCACAGCCACCGCCCCCTCAGCGGCCCCACCCACATTTAAAGTAAGATCATATTACGCTTCATTCAGTTTCTTTTAATATAACAATCCTCTCGTTTTGACACAGCGCCTAGAACGACCTGAAATGTCCCAAAGATCTTCACAGGTCAATGCTGTCAAGTGTAGTGACTGTGAAGCCATGTCACACACACAGTGAGGGCCCGCAACCAGCTGTGAATACAACCATAACAAATTGCATTTACACGGCGCCTTTCACGTCAGGAGGACGTCCCAAGACACTGGACAGTCAGGGTTCTGCACCCAAGCTGGTGGTTGGGATCAGGAGGGGTGGAGGGCGGGAAGGGTAGGTGTAGGAGGGTGATCGAAGGCACGGTTGAAGATATATAGTGGCCCTTGGGCAGGGTGCCAGAGTGTGTGAAAGCATTCTGTGCATAGGAACATAGGAACAGGACGAGGCCATTCAGCCCTTCAAGCCTGTTCCGCCATTTGATTAGATCATGGCTGATCTGTCCCTCAACTAACCCTTCCGATTGCGGGTTCCTCGCCATGTCCCTTAATTACCCTGAGCTGCCGACAGTGAAGTGTGAAGCGCGGTTCGACTCTGACAGTGACTGGACAGTGTGTTTCCTTCCCTCCCTTCACAGCAAATCACAGTCTCTGACCAACGCGTTCAACATCTCCGAGTCTTCGTTCTTCCGATCCAACCAGGACGAAGCCAAGGCCGAGACTATCCGGAGGCTGCGCAAGTCCTTCGCCAGTTTATTCTCCGACTAGAGAGCAAGGGAGCGTGTGTGTGTATGTGTGTGTGTTGGTTTGTGTGTACGTATTGGTATATGTGTGTGTTGTTCGGGTGTGTGCGTGTGTGTGTGTGCGCGTACTTACGCACAAAAAAAAGCGTGTATATTCCCGTGTTGTATCAGTGTCGCAACCGAGCTAGTAACGTGCTGATAACCTCCGGTGACCGGAGACGTTCTGTGCCGTGTGTGTGTGTGCGTGTGTGTGTGTAGATTCTTGTGCTACACCTCGCGCGGTGGGTGCCCTGCTGAGCAGAGCTGTCGGTGTGGGTGTCGGTGCTGATGTGACGGGATCAATGTAACGGATTCCAGCAAAAACAAAAATGATCAACAGACCGCGTTTAGCGGTGAGTCAGTCGATCCTTGTGTGGATCAATGAGTGGTTTCAACAGGGGACGAAGGGTTCCTCCCTTACCCCACCACCCCCCCCCCCATCCCCACCCAATGTAGTCATCGTGTCTGTGTGTGGAGTTGCTCTGGGGAAACGCTATCCTTTCCTTTCCAAACACTACTCCATGGTGAAGTATGTCAGTGATCACACGCTCAATGTGCACTTCCCTCCCAATGATGCAGTATTGCTGACTGTGCTGTGTTTTTGTGTGTGTGTGTGTGTGTGGTACGTGTTTGGTGCAGTGCTCATGCCGTAGCTAATAATATCCTACTTACTCTTAAAATCGGCCGAGAGGTAACAAAAGTGTGTATCAGTCTTTATCCAAGTGTAAAATTACATTCCAATATCACACAACTGTCCGGAGTGAATGAAAGTTCTATCTCGCAGATCTCTCACAGTATTTCCAAACCTGTTCTCCTTGATCTAAGGCTGTCACCTCCCCTGGCATTGTCACCATGACTTGCTGTGACAGTGATGGACATTTTGCAATGATATTTCCTTGTCTTTGATGAGCCGACGGGTTTCAAAACTGTTACCTTCTCCGCGCCTTCGTTCCTATCGCTCTGTTGCTGTCTCTTGCTTTCTGACTGAGCGGGGAGTGGGTACAAACTGGGATAAGGATTTGGATGAGTTGTGTTTGGTGTCAAATAAACCAAGATGTTACTCTGGGTATCGGGGGAGTCGGGGTGGAACGCAACCGTGAGGAGGTAACAAACCATCCAGCGTAACATCGGCTGCCAAGTGTGGCTGCCACCTGCGTGCGTTCAGACACAAGGCAGGGACGTGGGACCTGGACCGGGAGACGAGTGGTGGACATGTGTCATGATGGACATCTGTCAGTCGGAGGCTGAGGGGCAATGGTGGAGGGGCAGGACTGCCCTGACACAGGCAGAGTCACCAGGTAAACCAGCAACATCATTCACGACAAAACACACAGTCACTACATCTTTACCATAAATCCTCTGAGGCCTCCTGAGATACAGTAAAACTCCCAACTTACCAGACTCTGGCTGTAAAACAGTCATCCTTGCATTTGATATTGTACCTTATCACGTCAGAAGGATGTCCTCACATGAAAGGTGCGGTGTTGGGGGCCAAGACTGCTCTCCCCTGTCTGAGGAACGCGTGAATACTCTCCAGGATTATGTAATCAGGATGAGAGCGAGAGAGAGAGAGAGAGAGAGAGCGCGTTCCACTCCAACAATCTCTCGTGTAGGTGGGAGGCGTGGAATTCTCTTGGGTTTGGAGACTCGGGGTTCGGGCCCCCACACCTGACTGTTCAGCGCTTTGGGGCGTCCCTATAAACGTTATTCTGTTGTTGTCGTGAAGCGACGGTGGTGGGTTTCCGCACGTCTCGGACACCCATCCCGGCAACAAAAAAGAGAAAACATTTGATCCAAATTAAAGACTTATTTTGATAAACCGCTATATCAAATGCAAGGATTATTATTATTGTTATTATTGTTATTCGGGCTCAGCCCCTCATTGTCCCTTTAAATCGTGAGCGGGGAGTGAGGGTCGGGCTGGGCGGGGGGTGGGGTCCAGCCGTGGATTTACCCGCACTGTTAAACCCCCAAAACACAGCGATTCTCGGGCTTTTACGCACAGTTTCTGGTCGGGAACAGGAGCCCGAACTGAGCTGCTGCACAACTCTTCGCAGGAGTTTGTTTCATTTGTTTTTAAATGTAAAATGAAGTGCAGAGTAAGTGCACAGACACACACACACACAGAGACACACAGACAGACACACACACACAGACAGACACACACAGACACACACACACACAGACAGACACACACAGACAGACACACACACACAGACACACACAGACACACACACACAGAGACACACACACACACACAGACAGACACAGACAGACACACAGACACACACACACACAGACACACACACAGACAGACACACACACACAGACACACACACAGAGACGCACACAGACAGACACACAGACAGACACACACACACAGAGACGCACACAGACAGACACACACAGAGACACAGACAGACACACACAGAGACACAGACACACAGACACACACAGAGACACACAGACAGACACACACACACAGAGACGCACACAGACAGACACGCACACAGACAGACACACACACACAGAGACGCACACAGACAGACACACACAGAGACACAGACAGACACACACAGAGACACACACAGACACACACACACACGCGCCGCTTGTTGTGGGTTTGGGAAGAAGGTGTTCCGTGTTCGGGTTATTGGGGCGGGATCCTGGTCTGGAGGTGGTGCGGTGTAACCGGGACACACGGGACAGGGAGTGAGAGACAGAGACACACACACACACAGACGGGAGGAGAGCGCTCGGGGATGTGAGGAACTGCCAACTTAGTGCTGAGTGATCCAAGGAGACAGACACAGGTCAGTGTGTACCAGAGACAGTCCCTAAACAGTCCCGGTGTGAGATACACACACACACACACACAGGCAGACTGACAGAGAGAGACACACGCACTGAGAGAGAGAGACACACACACACAAAGAGACACACACACACACAGAGACACACACACAGGCACACAGAGAGACACACACACAGACACACAGAGAGACACACAGACACACACACACACACACAGTGACACACATACAGACACACAGAGAGACACACACACACACACAGACACACAGAGAAACACACACAGACACACACACAGACACACAGAGAGACACACACACAGAGACACACACACACAGACACACACAGAGACACACACACACACACAGAGACACACACACACACAGACACACACAGAGACACACACACACACACAGAGACACACACACTCACAGAGACACACACACACAGACACACACACAGAGACACACACACACACACAGAGACACACACACACAGACACACACACACAGAGACACACACACACACACAGAGACACACACACACAGACACGCACACACAGAGACACACACACACACACAGAGACACACACACACAGACACGCACACTCACAGAGACACACACACACAGACACACACACGCACACAGAGACACAAAGACACACACACACACAGAGACACACACACACAGACACACACAGAGACACACACACACACACACAGAGACACACACACACACACACACACAGAGACACACACACAGACACACACAGAGACACACACACACACAGACACACACACTCACAGAGACACACACACACAGACACACACACAGAGACACACACACACACACAGAGACACACACACACAGACACACACACACAGACACGCACACTCACAGAGACACACACACACAGACACACACACACACAGAGACACAAAGACACACACACACACACACAGACACGCACACTCACAGAGACACACACACACAGACACACACAGACACACACACACACAGACACACACAGACACACACACACAGACACACACACACACAGACAGGGAGAGGAAAGGTTTTACAGGTGTAAGATTGGAAACGTTGACCAAAGTTGTGACTTGACAACAGACACAGAGCCATCCTGAGCTGCAGTCAGTGTGAGGATATGTTCAGTCTGTGTTTGACTGTGTCACAAACCAGTTTGTTGTGTGTTGGGAGAGAGAGAGAGATTGTATAATGTTACTGTATAAAGTGCCCTTTGGTGAGATTGGCGTCAGGAGTTTGTTGGGACTGACTGTAATGGGGTTGGTTTCCTCACCCTTCCCTTCCCTGCCTTTCTCTCTCTCTCTCTCTCTCTCACCATCAAACCTGTTGGGTGGCTCCCAAGTCAGGGGTGTGCGACTGTCTTTCCCTAAGTTGCTGTGCTGTGAGAAGATGGGATAAGGTCCCCTGCTTCACCCTGGCTACAGGCAAACACCCACTCACTCACTTATCTCAGGGTGTTGGGTGTCAGAGCTGAGGGCAGTGTAGATGTTTATTCTCCGGTAAGAGATGGTGTTCTTTCAACCCCTTCAGTATTCTGCAAATACGGTCATTATCGATAATAATCAAAATGCAGGCAAGAGTAATAATCTAACTACCTGTTTTTAAGAACTATTCCGCCCCGACCTCCACTGTTATTATAATAATCCTTGCATTTGACACAACGCTCTTATCGTTGTCGTTGAGACGTCTCAAAGCCCTTCACTGGATAGACTGTAAAGTGGTTTGACTGTATATTGTGTGGGCAGAAACACGGCAGCCAATTGCGCAATGTGGGTGTCCCACAAATAGTCACGGATGAATGACCACATTTTAAAAAAATATACATTTTTTGAGCAATTATTAACCCAGGAAAGTGATCTGCAAATTCCTGATTACTGCTTGGTAAACAGAGGAGTGTGGAGTAAAGGAACTTGTCCAGGAATCGAACCTGGGTCCTCTGACTTGCGAGGCGAGCGCACACTAACCATTACACCACAGGATTCCACTGACTTTTACGTCTTATGGTCTTATAGATAAAAGACCGTCCCTTCCTGACTGTGATGGCCAGGGTTTTGTGTGGGATACAACGTGTTTGTCTCTGCGCCGCCACATTCTTGTTAGCGTGACAGTGAAGTGATTGTTCGTCGTTTCTTAACCTACTACTTAATTAAGAATTAATTCTGGAGCCTGTGAGGGAATCCTCTCCCCTGCGGTCAGTGTGCAGCATTGGGGCTCCCCGCCACCCCCCTCCCCTCGGTGTGGCATACGTCCACCTAACGTGAGGAACTCCCCATGTGCATTTATTAATTAACGAAATGCCACAAAATTGATCCAGTGACAGAGGGTAATTCACAGGACTAGAACCACAGCATGTAATTATAGATATTAAACAATCCTTTCAATTGGTACAACGCCTTTCACGTCATCAAGCTGCCTCAAAACGCTTCCCGGGACTTACTGCAAAGTGTAGGTACTGTGTATTTTGTGGGTGAAACGCGGCAGCCAATTGCACACAGCAACATCCTACAAACAACTGTGGAGTGGGTGACCAATTTTATTTGTGGGATTGTTGACCAGGCCACCGGGAGAGAGAGAGAGAGAGAAACTCCCTTCTCTTTTCGAATAGTACCACGGGATCTTTAACATCCACCTGTACAGGCAGACGGGTTTAACGTCTCACCTGAAGGCCAGGCAGGGGAGCGGAGAGCAGAGAGGTGTGTCACGTAGCCTCCATTTACTGGGGTCAAAATCCAAATTCCTCACCACAGCATCACTGAGCTCCACCTCCTGCTTTATTCATATCTGGGTTTTACTCACAGGGGAAAGTGTGAGTCGGCGCTGGTGTTGTGTGTGGCGGTTATTCCGGTTTTGCCGATTGCAGATCGTCGATGCTGATAAACAGCCTGTGAGGGGATTGCATAGTTTCCTGGCAGCTCTCACAAGCCAACTATGTACTTCCTACCACCACCCACACACACACACAGCAGCCCAAGGCTAACACCAGTACCTGTCCAGACCTGCTCGTCTGCTGGTTATCAAACTGTGCCCAGGGCACTGCTGGCTTAATCCTTTACCCATCGCGTGCGTTAAACCCATTCTCACAACCCGAGAGATTCCAGCACGAAAACCCATTGTCCTAACTGGTGCTCACTCCCTCTTTCTCTTCTCTCTAATCCCATTCCCTGCTGATTTCCCCGCCCTACCCACTGGTTACCTCACCCTAACTGTCTCTCAATTAGCTCATCAAATATTTGTTTTATTCACTTCGAAATAGCATTCACAGGAAAACAAGTACAATAGTCCACTAACCATTACTGCCAGTAACCCTCCAGAATAGGTTATTGTATTGCTAAATAAGAATCAGTTTTGCCCACAAAATATATAGTCAATTCACTTTACAGTGTATCCTGTGAAGCGCTTTGAGATGTCTCAATGACGTGATAAGGCGCTGTATCAAATGCCAGGATTATTATTACTAACTCACAACCATGAGTGTGTGTATGTATGTGTGTTGTGGGTATATGTGTGTGTTTGTGTAGGGCATTACTGTGTGCAAATTGACTGAGAATACACAGTCACTACACTTGACGGCAATTTTCCTGTGAACTGCTGTCAGCCAGTCTGGGGGTTGGTGTCACTGGTAAGAGTTTGTGGATTTTGTGTTGAAGAAGAGGGTGAGGGAGGGAGGGAGGTGGTGATGTTGACTGGTCAGCAGCTTGTTAATGAGTCACCAGCTTGTGATGTGACCTGTATTTTGTGGGAGGGAAGTGCGACTAAACTCCTCGCGCCCCCCTCCACACCATATGTCCTATAACGTCCCTGTTACGATGATAGGTTTGCAAGCTTGGGGTTGTTTTCACTGGGAAGGAGAACATTAAGAGTCCTGCAGTGTAGTGGTTAAGTGCAATTGCCTCGCAAGTGAGAGGACCGGGTTCAATTCCTGGTAGGGGCGAAACCTGAGGCAAGTTTCCTTACTCCAAACACATGCCTCTGTTTACCGAGCAGTAAGTAGGAACCCGGTTGTTAGTCGGTTACAGCGCCTTGGGACGTCCTCCCGACATGAAAGGCGCTCTATAAATGGAATCTTGTTGTTGTTGTAGTCTGTTGGTGGGTCGCTTTCTGGGGGCAATGATCCCTTCAAAAAGAAAGTTTGGTCTCTCAATCCACGGCTGTCTGTGGGACGCTGCTGTGCGCAATTGGCTGCTGCATTTCTCCTGCAAAATACAGTCAATTCACTTTATAGTACATCGCGTGAAGCGCTTTGAGACGTCTCAACGACGTGATCCCCTTTTTTTGTTTTACAGCAAATGAACCAAATCGCGTTGTCTCCCTGATATTTTCTGGTTCATTTATAGAGAAAAAAAATTGTATTTAGTCTTGGAAATTATCTGCCGAGGGCATTGCTCTGTGTTTCAAGGCTCCTCTCTTGCTATTCCAGCCCTGGCCTTGCTTTGGCTCCACATTCTACACACACTCACCGCAAATACATCAGGTGTTTGGGTTACAATCACCGTATTTAAAATTAAATTAATTAAAATCACCTGTGGCTGCAGTGGTCTGGCCTGGCTCAGCCGCTCACACTCCCCGCCTCGGCTGGTCCAGGACAGATATGGACAGAAAGTTGGGGATTCGATCCCCCAACCCACGTGCGGGGGCTTTGAATGCTCGGGGGGGAGTGGTGAGTGGGGGTGCCACACGACCAGAAACGTCCAGGGGTGCAACACTGCTGTGCTCAATTGGCTGCCGTGTTTCGCCCACAAACTACACAGCCACTACACTTTACAGTGTATTCTATGAAGCGCTTTGAGACGTCTCGACAAGGTGATGAGGTGCTGTATGAAACACAAGGATTATTATTATTATTATTATTTCTCTTTTTTAGGTATTTCATTCCCGTTTGAAAGCCGATACGGATTCTATCTCAGCCCCTCTCCTGTGAAACTGTCACCTCCTGCCTGTCGGTTCACTGACTCCCTTA